GGATCGAGTCCCACATCGGGCTCCCTGCTCGGCGGGGAGTCTGCTTCTCCCTCTGACCCTCTTCCCTCTCGTGCTCTCATTCTCTCTCTCTCAAATAAATAAAATCTTGAAAAATAAAATAAAATGAAATACTCCCTATGCTGTATACTGCATTCCCATGACTTATTTATAACTGGGAGTTTGTACCTCTTAATCCCCACCAACAAATTCATTCTAGGTTACCAGTTTTATCTTTCTTTTAAAAAAATATATTAAATTTGTCTCTCCCAGATTTCTCGCTGCCACAGTTATAAATCAAAAGGACAACTGAAGAGGAAATGAAAGAGGCATAATGCAGCTATATTCAAGAACATGGTCCTTTAAAATGTTTGGGTATGAAATAGTCTCATAAGTTTTTGTGAATACATTTTTTTTTCCTGTCAACCAAATTGAACAGGTAAAGGAGCATATTTCGCCCGTGACTATGAATTTCCCTGATGCTTCTGCGTGTCAAGCTGGTGGTAGTTCGAGACTGATCAGTTCATAAACCCCATGACTTTCCTCCTCTGAAATTAGTTTGCTCAAGAAAACCCCTTGTCATTCTACATGTTTGTTCATACTCATGACACGTTCCCAATCAATGGATTGTTTTTGTGTCCATTTTAAACATATTCACCCAACAGTTTAACCAAAAATATCTCTAGATATTGCCAAGTGTCCCAGGGAGACAAAATCGCCCCCGTGTGAAAACACTGAGGTTGGGGCGCCTGGGTGGCTCAGTTGGTTGAGCGTCTGCCTACGGCTCGGGTCATGATCCCAGGGTCCTGGGATTGAGCCCCGCATTGGGCTCCCTGGTCAGTGGGGGAGTCTGCTTCTCCCTCTCAAATAAAATCTTTAAAAAACAACAACACTGAGGTTGACTTTCAGTACAACGCTTCACCAGGGAATTCTAAGACCCTTATATAGGATTACATCATAGAGCAGAGTTTTCCTTCACAAACAGCAGAGAGAGACGACTGTCAGCTCACAAGATTCACTGACGGCTCCTAACACACTAGGACCTAGCAGACAGCTGCACAGACTGTCTGAGGCTAGGAACTCAATCTGCTGTTATCTTTGTTACATAACCGCTTCCGTCTCCGGTTGAGCCCTCACACGATGGCCTATTTAGAGGGAGGACGCCTGCTGAGGCACAACGTCCACATCACTAAGTCCCCCAACGACACAACAGTTGCAGGCTGGGGATGTCGACTACCAGGCACTGCTAAGCAATTTAATTGATTTTAGGACTTTTTCCAATAAAAATCTTTTTGAAACAAAACAGACTAAGAGAATGCATGCTTTGTTTTAAAGCAAACTGCACCAGCATCACATCATCACCATGTGAAGAACACCTGGCAAAAACAATTACTGGAAGGTTGGAAAGTAGATCCTATAGGTTCCACAGTTCGGTAAAAAAGCTTGGAAACCCTTTTAAAGGGGGGAAAAAAAGAGTGCTCACTCAGGCTTAAGAGATTAGTGAGAAGAACGTAATTTCACCTTTCATCACAAAGGTTCTAGAACTCATTACAATCTTACATGCTACACACGCTGCCTTCTAAATACCACAGGGAACGGATGTTGCTGGTCAATTTTCCAAGAATAACTATCGGCGTAAGTCTCCCATTTCTTAAAAACAGACTTGGTAGAGCACTACTTACAGATGAGCTGAACTAGTGGGACTGTCTCTCCATGATCCTGTGATTTACCACAGGAGAGACGGCAAAACACCCCAAAATGTCCTACTTCCTCCATAATGGAGGTTGGTTGGATGTTAAATCGTGCCTTTAGCTTCAGGTTTAGATCAATCTGGCCTGGGTCTCCCTAGAACTGCTTATTCAAAATCCCCTGTGGTTGTTTCAAGTGCATCCCTGCTGAAAACTCCTGGCACTGGTGCAGAGGTGAACAGGACTCACTTTCACGACACCCTCCTCTCTTCCCAAGTTCAGGCCTGCGCCCCGATCCTTCCGAATCTACATCCTAGAATTCCTGACCCACAGGCTGCAGCCCTTCAGTGATAACTGAGCTAAGGTCAGGAGGTGTGTGTGTGTCATCGGCACATGGAGTATGTCTGCCCAATTTTTAAACCTGCCCTACTTCCTAACAGACAACGTATGCACATGCACACACGCATGCACATTCTCAGACCCCCAAGTTGCAGGGCAAGTGCTCAGTTAGCTTATGCCCCCAAATCACAGGAATATAAAAGATGTCTAAGTATATGACTTAGGAACAGATAACAACTACTTTTGCATTACAGGGGAATTGAAAACTGCACCAGCCAACAAAATTAAAACTCTTTAAAAATTGATATGGCTCTTTTATAAAACAGATGAAGTAATAAACACACACACACAGAAATGAGAATCGACTATAACAGTCAATTAACATAAAAGAAAAATGAGTCCGTTTTCTTTGACTTTATACAATTTAATCACTTCATTTCACACTTTCCAAATTCACTTTGGACCCAGCACATCCTGGGGGGGTTTTATATATCGACCAAGTTGCTCTGCTAGAGACATTCAAGTTCAGGAGCAGATTCCTTGCACATTCATCCATTTCTGTTTAAGAACAAGAAGGAGTCTTTTTCATTTCTTTTATAGAACATAATTATTTTTATTATGAATTTATTTAAATCACTTTGGACCCAGCATATCCTTAGGTTTCACCCACTCATCAAACTGCTCTGCAGTGAGATAGCCAAGTTCAATAGCAGTCGCCTTTAAGGTTGATCCATTTTTGTGTGCTGTCTTAGCAATCTTTGCCGCCTTGTCATACCCTGAAGAAAAAATAAAAATGCAGTGCAGGAGTTTGTAGTGAAATCTGGTTTTCTAAAGCAAAAGGTAATCTTTTACTCAACTGAGGCTACTGATCTCTTAAGTAACATTTTTAATCTTAAAAATATTTAACAAGGGCACCTGGGTGGCTCAGTCAGTTAAGCCTCCAAATCTTGATTTCAGCTCAGGTCATGATCTCAGGGTTGTGAGATTGAGCCCCGTACTGGCTCTACATTCAGTGCAGAGTCTGCTTAAGATTCTCTCTCTCCCTCTGCCTCATCCCCATTTGCACTAAATAAAATCTTTAAAAAAAAAATTTAGCAGTGGTTATCTTGAGAGCTGTCATTTCTGATACAGAATAAAACCTTTACTTTTCTTAAATGATACAGACTTAAACATACCTCACTTTCTACAACAGATTTGTTCCTATGGGCAGTTGGCCACTTCAGTTGTCTTTGGGTTCCCCTGTGTAGGTCTCTGACTAAATGCTAATGTACAATAGCTTGTATTTATTATTTATTTGACAGAGAGAGAGACAGCAAGAGAGGGAACACAAGCAGGGGGAGTGGGAGAGGGAGAAGCAGGCTTCTGCTGAGCAGGGAGCCTGATGCAGGGCTTGATCCCAGGACCCTGGGACCATGACCTGAGCCGAAGGCAGATGCTTAACGACTGAGCCATCCAGGCGCCCCTGTACAATAGTTTTTAAAGGATCAAAAGCATTATTACCCAATCTCAATACTACACCGTAGAATAACTCCTATTTTCACAGGGGGAAGAACAAGAAAACAATATAGCACCAAGACATGAAAACATACTTCTGAGTAGCAGACATATGTGTTGTTTCTCGAAACATGTTTAACTGGAAGCAATCGTTCCACGAAAGCATAAGCAGCTAAGTGCTGCAGTGCCCCAGCAAACAGCACCCCTGTGCGGAAGCTGTAGGGACTGTCTCTGAGGCAAGGTGGGGGAAGGGGTCCCCGGGGGGGCCGCACCTGCCAACTGCGTCCAGCAGCACTTCACAGTACCCTGACCTCTTCCCAGAGGTCGCAAGGATACAGGGGAAGTTTTAGCACAGATCTGTACTCGTACCAAAGGCCACAGGTGTGCTGTTTGCCTCAGTTATTTGCCTCTGGAATTAACAGAGGTAAGGGCAGGGACAGCTTTGCAAGTTGTCTTAACACAACTGAAAAAAAGGTCAGAAGGCAAAAGCAAGAATGTACATAAAAGAACGCCTATGTGGCTCAGTCGGTTAAGCGTCTGCCTTTGGCTCAGGTCATGATCCCTTGCTTCTCCATCTCCCTCTGCCCCTCCCCCCTGCTTGTTCTCTCTCTCTCTCTCTCTCAAGTAAATAAAATCTTAAAGAAAAAAGAACAAACAAAACTGAAAACAGGGGCACCTGGGTGGCTCAGTTGGTTAAGCGACTGCCTTCGGCTCAGGTCATGATCCTGGAGTCCCGGGATCGAGTCCCACATCGGGCTCCCTGCTCGGCGGGGAGTCTGCTTCTCCCTCTGACCCTCTTCCCTTTCGTGCTCTCTATCTCTCATTCTCTCTCTCAAATAAATAAATAAAATCTTTAAAAAAATGAAACCAACAAAGGAGGAAAAAACCCCCAAATGCCCCCAGATCAGAGGACTATGGTCAAACGGACAAAAGCCTTGAGGCATCAGGACCGTCAACCAGGCAAGATGTTACGTGCCGGCATGTAACCATTAACCATCTATGAAACACATATGGGCAATTTTAGTACTCACCTGAACTCGTGACTGCAAAGCATGTTGAAAAGGGCATTTGCTGATCAGAGTAACTTTGAGAAAGAATTGTGTACTCTTATGTTGAAGATGTTAGAGTCTAACTCTTATGCTAACCATTCAGCTCTACTCTTTGGATCCCACAGATGGCTGTCACCAGCCAGCCTGCTCAACAAGCGGGCAGAGAACCCATGACAAGCAGCTACAAGCTCACACTACAGAAGCAAGGTCTGGTTTGCCCACTTATCCTTGTATGGCCTTTACCTCACAGAAAACGGATTCCAAGAAAGATTGACCAATCATTCAGTGTTAGGAGCACTTCTAACTTAAGTCTTCTGATGTGCAGATGTGAGGGAACATTTCTCACATAAGCCTTTGGGTTCCCTGAGTAGCTCCCTGGCTGAATGCTAAAGTACAATAGTTTTTAAAGGATCAAAATATTATTACCAATCTCCACACTACACCATAGAATAGGCTATAACCATAGCTACCTCTTTCTATACATAGGTAGCTCAGAGCTACCTGAAGCACTCAAATGAGCTCTAACTTTATAAAACTGAAATTACCGCTTGATGTGAAGCCAATAGTAGAAGATCTGCTTTGAAAATTCAGGATTATAGAAGAATATTTTAAACAGCAACCATAGCATGCTAATGACTGTATCATAACTTGTTATAAAACAGAAAATCAAAGAATATATTAACAACCTCAGCTCGGCAGTAAGAAAGTGGAAAACGGCTTTCAAGGCACCATAACATAATGCAGCTAAGGCCTCAAAACCTGCAAGCTGAAACTGTATCTTTAGTGAGGATCACTATGGTCAGTCCACAATCCAAGTCAGGATGTTCAAATTTACACAATAAAATATTTATAATTCTGGGAAAGGCTTGCAATATAAGAGTCATGGTTTTAGATAAAATATTTACATTTCCCCCACTTTCCCTATAAGCAGTGAATACTACCCTTTTTCTTTTGTTCTTATTGGTAACTTCCCATTTCTGAATTGAATAAAACAACAAAATCAAAGTGTATTAGAGCATCTAGAGAAGGCAGAAAAATGAATTCATCCCACATTGCTAATCGGCCAGTGCCACCTAGTGACGCTACCAAGTGAGGGGACCCTTCCCAGGTAGTCTGCACAGAATGTTGAGCATCTCAATACCGTTAAGATTTATTTAAGTTTGAACTTCTAAGTTTACCACATTTCAAATAAAATGAAGCATCACTGACAGCATATTAATATATAAACAGTGTCTTTCAACACAATTTCAAATATTTTATGAGATTTTACCAAACAATGCCCAAAACGAATTTGCTGTCCACCTTGATCCAACAATCTCTTAAAAATATTTTAGCTTTTTAATTTTGTAGTCAAAATGACATTATTCCTTAAACCTTACCTATATGAGGATTAAGAGCTGTCACCAACATTAGAGATTCATTCATCAGCTTGTTGATCCTCTCTGTGTTGGCCTGGATTCCCACGACGCAGTTTTCTGTGAAGGAAACGGCCGCGTCCCCCAGCAGCCTGGCTGAGTGTAACACATTTTTGATCTGTGACGGGAGGGGTGAAGGGGAGAGGGGGAGAGAGAGAAAGAGAGGGGCTTATTGAGCCTAACTTTTCTGTCCAATAATAGATATTATGTGCTGGTTCATAAATGAATACGTAACTTGATAAACATGTAGCTCTCCTATGACTTGTAAAGCACTATACCCACAGAAACAAATATTGAAAGAAATTATGAACATCTGAGGACACTGAAATCTAAAAGAGGTAAAAGCCATAAATACAAATAACTGGAACCCAAGAGACCCTGTACTGTGAAGAACACAGGTATGAAATGTTAGCACAGAGAGAAATTAATTCAGTTGCAGGACTATTGGTGAAGTCTATTTGATGGAGGGGACTTAGATAACCAGAGCTGGAAAAAGAATCTTCTGGAAGAGAAGTAAAGATGCGGCAGTTAGAAAGTTCAGCCTGTCTGAGGCAGTCAGTGCAGTGAGGGCTTTCCAGGTCTTAATGGTCACCACATTTTTAATGCTTAATAAAACAAATATTCCTCAGACCCCTTAAAATAACCTTTCATACAATATTTAAAACAAACATAAAATCAGTTTGCTTTAGCATTTTTTTTCTTTTGGTAACATTTCCAATATGTATAAAGATATATCTGCATCCTACTCTCTTTTGGTCTAAAACCTCAGGGTCTGAAAACTACAGTCCCAACAATGGACTCCAGTAGAAGGCTCAGAACTTCAAGGTTTGATCTGATACTAATGACTTTAATATAAGGAAATGTTGGGGCGCCTGGGTGGCTCAGTCAGTTAAGCGTCTGCCTTCGGCTCAGGTCATGATCCCAGGGTCCTGGGATCGAGTCCCGCATCGGGCTCCCTCCCTCTCCCTCTGCCCTACCCCCTACTTGTGCTCTATCTCTCTCAATCTCGCTCTCTATCTCAAAATAAATAAAATCTTAAAAAAAAATAAGGTAAATGTTGATTACCATGATGTATTTTCTATAAAAGACAAAAAATAGACTTTTGTTTTTTAAAATAAAAAAATTAGCAAGACATTTGTTGCACACCTACATTTGCCAGGCAGCTGGTATTAACTGTTTGGAATCTGACATGCAAGCAAAAGCTCAGACGTCTGAGTTCTGCTTTGGCCTTTTATTTTTCATGAGACTGTACATTCCATGAGGGCAAAAAATTATGTCTTGCTTATTGTTCTATCACTAGTACCCAGTACAGTGCCTGATATAGATTTGACAAATACATTGAATAAATATTCTTAATATTTGTCATTTGCATGTCCTTATCAAATTAAAACCAGACTTTACACAGAGGCTTCTTAAAGGTAATAAACCTCTAATATATTTTAGATGTAACAATTTACACAAATAAAGGACTCCAAAGGATGACAGCTCTATTTTCTGAAGCTGAGAAAACTGGACTAAAGATCAAGATGATGCCACCTTGCTCCATCTTCATGAAGATGAAGGTAAAGAACAGATTTTGGACACAAATGTTTCCCAGGTATGCGGAAAAGGGAAAACAGATGAAGGAAAGCCAGAGAGGGACAGGGAAGAGCATGGGAGGAGGGTGCTGAGGAAGCCAAGGAGAAGTGTTTCAAGGCCAAGGTCAAGCGTTAGCAGTCTATGGGCCTGCAGAGGTTCCAAATGACCAGGAGAATAATCCAAGGACAAGTCGGGGGCAGAAGCCGTCAGTGGTGAATTTGCCTGAAAGTGAATGCGGGTTATCCTTCTAAGACGGCAGAATTTGAAGGAAGAAGAGAGAAGCAACGTGAGCAGGAGACAGGGTTGAGGGAAGGCTCGCGGAGACTGGACTTATTTCGAGGCACCAGCGTCCCCCTCACTGGGTGAGGGACAAGGAGGAAACCCACACCCTGTTCCCAGACTTTTTCTTCCTATTAAATAAAGCAAACCATCAACTTACTTGAGCTAAAAGTCACCTAATTAAATATCCACACTTAATCTTCTAACATTAACATATGCTTGACTTCCAATTGCTACTCACATCATCCCAGTACCTAACACGAAATCTCTAGAAACCTTCCTGAAGGAAAACACAAGACAATTAGCCTCGAGTCAAACAACGTGGAAGACTGGGCCTCCAGCTTACCATCATTGGCTTGAACACGTTCAGCTCGAAATGGCCATTGCTGCCCCCGACGGTGACGGCGACGTGGTTGCCCATGACCTGGGCGGCGACCATGCTCAGCGCCTCACACTGGGTCGGATTCACCTTGCCTTCAAGAGAGCCGCCGAGGAAAGAGTCCACGTCAAACATGCTGGTGGCCTCAGGTGTCAGTCAAGATTAGGTAGTACGTCAATCAACCAAGAAAAGAAGGGAGTCCGACTTCCTTCAATAAAGCAAGTCCCCAACCACCAGGGCTGATACAATGAAGCAAACCAAGCAAAGAGCGAGGGCCGGGCGGCCACAAACTGCAAACCACTCATTCAGCGGCTCCCACGCCACATGAAATACGGCCCTCCCCATCGCCATGGCTTCTGTTCATCGTGGACACAGGTGTGGAGCCAAGCACTGAGCATGCCGCGGTGGGTGATGCAGCACCTGGCCTCCAAGCTCTGGGGAGAGAGCTGGTAATTACAGCAAGGGCAGGGGGGGTGTAAGTCCAGAGAAGCCAGCTGCCACGGGAATACTCATAAAAAGAGCACCTCGCTGACACTCGGGAGAGTTCTCAGAGGAAGCGCACATTAAGCCGGAATTCTCCTCCTCGTCCTAAGTCCACCAACCCTGGGAGCACCCCTCTGACGAGCTCAAGTTTGAACCAGACACCCCAGATTTCTCTGACCAGTACAAGGCAACACACTGGAAAGGTTATTTCTGTATCTGTGAATCTGGGTCTCTCTTTCCTAGGCAATCCCCTTGAATTTGCAGTCAACTAAACGCACATCATTTTTCAACGTGAACTATTTTAAAATCAGATCTCTTCTCATTCTATACACATGCTCAGATTTAAAAGAATCTATAGTCAGGTCTTTCTTTTTCACTATTAAAAGTCCCCTTGTCAGTTTCAGTCGAACCTAGAGAGGCCTTTCTTTATGAGTCTTGATCCTGTCACCTGGCGTACTGCTGTATCCTTATCCATTGATGTGATCTGCATGTATTCCCTGCCTTCACCCTCGGTCACCAGTGAAGCGGTGAAGGGGCAGAGCCCTTCAGCCTGCTACCGACACATGCCTCCAGTCTGAAGTCAACTCTTTAGTGTCACTTAAGTGTCACTGTTCACCCACTACATTCGTCTAACAGGGCTACCCACCCGTCCCCACGGGATTCAGTGAATGTCACAGGAGTCTGTCAAATGACTCGCTAAAATCCAGACAGCCACTGTTGTCACTTCCCTTATCTGACATGCCAAAACCCAAAGCAAAAAATGAAATAACAGGCAGTCGGAAGAATTCATTTCTATTCAACCCAGGCTGATCACTTTAACAGCTGGTTTCAGAATTCTTCTGGCTTGGGATTATGAAAGATGGAATTTACACATTCTCTCACGTAGGAATCAAAACACACGCGCCAACTAATTCTCTTTTCCTATACTGTTGGGTGACATTCCCAATTCTGATCACAGGTGGCCCACAGACACGTTTGGGATCATGCTGAACACAAGGAGACACGCTCTGTTCATGAGAGTGCCCGGGTTCTTGTCAAGTTCCAGAGCTAATTATTTCCCAGCTCTGTCCTTACCTGGCATGATACTGCTTCCTGGTTCATTTTCAGGCAAGATCAGCTCTCCCAGACCTGAGCGGGGACCAGACCCCAGAAAGCGAATGTCGTTTGCGATCTTCATCAGACTGCAGGCGGTGGTGTTCATGGCTCCGCTGAGTTCAACCAGAGCATCGTGCGCAGCCAGAGCTTCAAATTTATTTGGAGCTGTGACAAAAGGCAAGCCTGAAGAAAAAAAATAACTCTCTGAGTTAATAGGTAGAATTAAATGTTTTTTTCTAATATCAGCAAGTTAAACAGAAAGTTCCAGGATATGAAAAGCAAAAACAGAAGAAAAATTTTACTTCAAGAAAAAATGCTTATTTTACGATTCAAGCTTTGTCTACGTTTCTTTAAGTCCTGAACCAGTAGGAAGAACCTGGTGATACTAGTGTGTTTAAAGGAAAAAGAAACAAGGACAATAAATGCACTGAAAGAAAAAACATTATTCTTCTGCGAACATGAGTATGATGCCTGACTACTTTTGAGTAAGGAGGAGAAGTAGCTAAAGTTCACTTTATTCCACACTCCTTTCCCAGTACAATTTTTCCCCATCTTAGGCTGTTCTAGTCCCTCCTTTAGTCAGGACCCCACAGATCCCCTGAGAGGGCAGGGGGCCAAAAGGAGTTAGACATTTTCACTCAATGTCGCCCGTGTTCAAAATTTTAAAGATCACATATTCTAATCCCTATAAGTACTTCTCGATTAACACTTGACTGAAAAACAAATCTCGGCTAGACAGCAGTAATGAGCATCATCTAATTATGTCTGCCCTTTCTGCTAGTAACATCTGTATCTTCAGAAGAGTTTTCAGGAGATGACAATTCGGCCCTAATAATAGTTATTATCGAGAACACAGCACTCTCTCTACTAAAGGAAAAACAAGATTCAAAAAGGTCATTAACTCAGAGAAATATCCCAGTATGATATAGGGAAAAAAGAAATTAAGCCTGTCAGTATCTCAACGTATCTACCATTGAAAGGAATGTGTCTCAACCATTCACTGATTTTGCCTGCTTTGAAAATGGGCATTCAAAACAGCTTTAAAGGGAAAACTGAATATCACCATGATAGTAAATAAGCCAGCACTGACGGATTTTAATTGCATACTGTATGAAGCATAGATGGGAAACTTAAAAGGTAAAAGGATTAATACGGCAACTTCTGAAATAGACATAAAACACGTTTGATGGGAAAATATTATTTTTAACTTTAAATTCACAAGAATTCAAAGCAGAAACACCTAGAAAATATAGACCAGTGTAACAAAAGTGAGTCTCGATTCATATTACCGCTGACCTGTGAGTGCAGCCACTCTGGCGGCCACCTTCTCTGCAAAGCCAAGTCTAGTATTTAAGCCCGTGCCGACAGCAGTGCCTCCGGCTGCGAGCTCATAGATCCTGGGCAAGGTGGCTCTTATTCTCGTCATCGCATATTTCACCTGCTGAACATAACCACTGAATTCCTGGAAAGAGAAGGGAATTAAAGGTGAGAACATGTGAGTTCCCAACAGCTTACAAGTGATTCTGCGTTAAACAGAAGTTCTTTTAAATATGTTTCAGGTACTAAATTGTGAGCTACCAAGTGGACTGTGAACCATTTTAATTCATACGATGAACAAAGTATGAGAAGAAGGAGGATTTCATAAACCTATAAGATGGGACGATGCCACAGAGGAAAACATGCAGCCTGTTTATACTCTTAATAGAAAGCAAAGAAAAACAACACAGGAAATAAGCTTTAAAAAAGAATGACTTTAGTACATTAAATTATTGGTTTGCTCGAAGGTTTTGGGTGTGTGTGTGTGTGTGTGTGTGTGTGTGTGTGTGTATATCCCAGACAACTTTGAGAAAGAAGAAAAACCCTGAATCCTCTCCCAAGACAAATGCAAACATAGACATTTTCTCCACACAATTGCAGTTTAAAAACCTAACAGAGAACAGAAGGATGGTTTAAAAGTATTCAAGAAGCTCAACAGCTCACTGAAGAGCACAAGAAGGTAACCGGCCACAGCAAGACTACAGCTTCAAGATGCAAGTTAATTCTGCTATTAATGTCCCACTGGTTCCCAGAATTTGACACATTTTACAAAAGGGAGAAACAGAATTTATTGTCTGAACACAGCAGGGCCCCTTTTAAGAATTATGCAGGGACAAAAGGCATAAGCCAGAACTCAACTGAACAAGCCAGAATATATGGTTACACTACAGCTATCTTTTTCCTGCCTAAAAATACTGAAAAACCATGAATACTTTTGATTAGTATTAGGATATCTTACTGTTTTAAAGAAAACATTTTAGAAGATAGAACTCCTTTCAGGCAGACCTGATTCATCTAATCTAATGTCACTACTACATACACCAGCTGGATTCACTTAAGTTTCCTTTTATTGGGGAAAACCTGCATAAACTCAAGAGACAATTCCAATAAAAGCAAGTGTAGGTGCTCCAGTAAGGTGAAGTCGAACAGAAAATGGTCTCTGATGTAATTGGTAGAATGATGACTTTACACAGGAGGCTGTCATGGCCCAAAAAGACGTTAGCACGGTGGGTGGTTTTCCACCAGGTGACACACACAATAAGGAAAACATTAGAAACCAGAGGGACACTCAAAGGTTTCAGACACACACTGCTCCTCTGTAGAAACCATGCCAGGCACTAAGAACATGATGCAAAGAGAAGAGCCTTCGGAGACAACTGAAGTTAGGGAGCTCGCTTCACTCCCAGCACCTGTATTCCAATGAATTTTGTTTTCCTCATTCTTCCATAATGAAATTAAGCTAAGCAATCAAGCTTCTTACAGTGTTCATCTGAACAAGACTACAAATGAGAATCTTTTCAAGTAAGTGGCACTCGCTCGCCTCGCCATCACCTGATACCCCTAATTTGTCCAAGTCCTACCTCCCAAACTACAGGAGAGTTTTACTATCAAAAACTATTGCCTGATGTTGATTCCTTTCATGTCCTTCGTGGTGCATGCTGTTAGACATTCTTTGAGGCACTAATCAAGAAACACCAAAATACTTTTTCTGGTATTTTGGGGAAGAGAGTAATACCTCTTTCCCATGTGGCCCAATACAATCTTAGAGGCAGATATGCCTTGCTTAATCAACTTAAAAGTAATTTTTATAGAGCCTACTAATCCAGAGTAAGAGGAAAAGGGAGGCAGGATAATGATCTTGGTGATGACGAAGACAATGGCGACAGCTAACGCCAGTATGTATTTATTACTACGTGTTGACAGGGTTCTAAGCCCTTTACAAAAACCAATTCTAACCTCCCAACTGGGTTAGGATACAGATGTTATTTTCCTCATTTGAAAGCTCAGAAAACTGAGGCACAGAAAAGCTCACTAATTTTCCCAAGTTCCCGCAGCTTGTACGTAGCAACCTGAGCCAACTGCCCCGAGACTGGCTCACGGTCCACATGCTGTGCTCTTCCCCTCAGAAGGTGTCAATAAAACTCCTGACGGGTTAATGCAGAATAATCTCTGCCACTGAACTGAACTGTTACAACCTGGCTTCTAAACTAGTGCGATTTAGAGGGTAATATGTTGGCCATTTGTACCAATCCCCAACTGAGTCCCATCCACACACACTCCTCTACCTGCCCGAGGGTGAGAGGGACAGCATCCTGTGTGTGGGTACGCCCAATTTTGATGATATGGGCAAACTCTTTAGATTTTGCATCGAGAGCATCGTGCAGCTTCTGCAGTCCGGGCAGGAGCACCTCATGGACTTCCATGGCGGCGGCGATGTGCATTGCCGTGGGAAATGTGTCGTTCGAGCTCTGTTGGAAAATTTACACAAAATGGTAAAATGTTAAATCAGAAGCAACAAAAAACACACTTGAATGTCTCCACTAAAAATCTCACTAAATGATTATTCAAAACTCATGTCTTTAGTGCTCCATGACATCGATGTGTGGCAAGCCATAGGTCACTTAAGGTCAAAGCAGCAGCAGCTGGGTTTAATGAACTCAGGACTGTAGCCTATACGCCACCTGCTCTTATGTACTATTATCACATCTGCCAGTAAATGATAGCAAAACAACAAGTACATGTAAGGATAGCAGTAATAAAATATCTACAGTTATACAGTACAATCTTTTATTAAACTTGAGTAAAATTCTTGTCAGGTAGTTCATCACTTTAAAAATAGGAAAACCAAGCTCCCAAAGAAATGATGTGACTTGCCAAAACATTTAGGAACTGGCAGAACTGGGGCCTAAGCAGGAGGTCCAAACCCCATGCTGTTTTCAACTGGAAACCCCATACTTCTAAATTCTTGTGCTATTTAAAAAAGATGTATTATTTTTGTAACTTTGTACTATGGAAAACATCAAACCATTTACAAAAATAGAATGAATGGTATAAGGAACACTCATGTAGCTATAACCTAAATTCACAGTGCACACCAATCCTGCTTCCGTGTAGCTCCACCCCACTCCTTCGCCCGACTGTTCACACTGGATGACTCTCACATAGATTTCAGACTGCAGTATACATACAAGAGAAGTTTATATTTAAATGCAAGTAATAAGTTTGAAAAATCCTTCCTACACTAAACTTATGTGAAAAAGCTTCCCCATTAATACGTAAAAACATGTTAAGTTACATCTAGCACAGGATCTTAATTTCTAAATATTTTCCAGTTAAGATCCTCCAAGAGTTCCCTGGAAAAATGGGTGCTGACAAGGGCTGGGGCAGGGAAACTACATGATGAGCCTGGGGCACCTGGTGGTAGAAGAAAGTAAAGAACTGCTTTATAAAAGAAAAAAAGGGTGGGGGAAGGATGGGGATACATCCAAAGAACAGGAGCCAACAGAGAGGGCTCCCAAAGCCAGAACAATCCGAGCAACAACATAAATAATAACAGTACTGGATTAGAACCCTAAGAATAGAATAAATATTCACAAATCCACGTTGATATACATAAACAAATGAAGAAGTGCTGGGGTAGAGAGAAGAGGAACAGATCTTCTTTACAGAAAAGTTCCAATTAATACAAGTAGAAGGAATGAGGGGAGTACAAAATAACCACTAGGACATCACAGTCATAACTGCTACAGGCAAGATCCACTAATGAATGATAACCTTCATGGACAAGTTTAAGGAGAAAGAGGATATTTGCACATCCTCAAAATTACCTATTAATTCTGTGTTGATTTTAACATATGACCAAAAATTCCTTGATATGTCTCCCTTTAGAAAGTCAAGTTTAAGTGCAGTGCCCGAGTACAGTTAGGCCTCCACGGCTCACCTCTAACAGGGAATGGAAGGTGGAAAAGCCCACCTTCCTAACCAAGGGGTCGAAGTTCACATCACCAGTCCCAAGTCCTGGTGCTATCATGTACCCCCGCCATGATGCAGTAAGAGGAGCCCTTCACTTCTCAACAGTCTTCCCAAAATCCAGAGTCTCCAAACCCAAACTGAGGGATGTTTCACAAAATACCTAACCGCTTTCAAAAGTGTCAAGGTGACAAAAGACAAGTTGTCAGAGACTGGAGGAGACTAAGGGAACACAGTGACTACTAAATGCAATGTAGCGTGGATGGTATCTTGGAAGAAAAAAGATATTGGTAGAAAGCTAGGGGCATCCTAATAAAGTCTCTCTAGTTAAGGGTGCTGTATACCAATGTTAATTTCATGGTGTGATAAATGTACCAGGGTCATGAAAAATGTTTAACACTTGGGGAAGCTGGGAGAATGGTATACAGGAACTCTGTGTGAAGTATCTTTGTAATTCTTTTATAATTCTAAAATTATTTAAAAATAAAGCATTTTTAAAAAACAAACTAAACAATACAAACACACATACATACTAAATTCAGGTGCCCTAATAGGGATTTTTATGAAGTTTAAGACATAGACCCAAGATTCCTAAAAGAAGCAAGAACATGTAAGAAGTCCTTTCTACTAAAGAATATAAGTCAAATGAACCTTCCTTGTCAAAAAGCTAATGCCTATTTTACAAGCATAATCTCAGGTATTCTTTTCAATTTATAACAAAGAGAAGATCATATACTGACCTGGCTTTTATTAACATGATCATTGGGATGCACGGGTTTCTTACTACCAAGTTCACCTCCTAGCATTTCAATTGCTCTATTGCTAATGACTTCATTTACATTCATATTTGTCTGGGTTCCTGATCCAGTCTGCCATACCACAAGAGGAAAGTGATCATTTAATTTACCTTCGGCTACCTGCAGAAAAAAAAAAAGTTTAAAAAATGAATTTTTAAAAATAAATAGTCAATATCCATTTAGCTACTGTGATCAGCTATGATTAAGGAGTCACCTATCAAGTGCTATTACAAAGATGCTCACTTTCCTCATGTGCTAAATGATTTACTGATGGTGCCACACAGCTCGTGGTTGTCCAGTGACTCCAAGCTTCTGCAGCATCCATGTTCCAACCATCGCTACTTTACAAAGTGAAAGGTTATCTACCCTGAAAGACAACAATTTCATGGACTGCACGTGAAAACTGAATCAAAGCCATCTTTCTTCTGTATTTCCAACTGCTTCCTCTAATGATATCCAGATAGGTCCACCTGTTAAGGCTAGCACACATGTTTTTAGATACATTTACTGTGGTCCTCAGTGGGAATATCCCACAGATGTTACAGGTGGAGTCAGCATGATAATGAATGAGTTACTTGAAAGTGAGTTTGCTAATAGCTACTTCACTGCACAGATGTCCGATGAGTAGCAACTGCCAAGAGTACAAACACAGTCCAGATTTATCCCTGTTTCTGTGATATAATTTTATGTGTTTGTGAATTATAAGCTTTCTAACAGAATAGGTGCTTAACTTCATCTTCTACAATGATTTTAGCTTAAAAAAAATCAGTACACACCTTAGAAAAGTATCACCTTAAACAATTACTCCATTTTAAAGTAAAATTTTTTCCTGGTTATATAATAGATGTTCAGTGTGGAACATTTTGAGAAGTGAGAAAAGTGTAAGTTACGATAACCCTACCCCTCAGACACAGTGACTCTTGGCATTTTGGCTTCTCCCCTTAGGCTTGCCCCAAGCAATGCATGTGCATATTTGCACACAGAAAAACACATGTTTTCTGTTCATATTTTCCAAACATAATTAGGATCATAAAATACATACATTTTGATACCTCCCGACCCCATACTTGCTATACAGTAGGCTCTATCATAGGACATTCTTAAGAAACTAATTTTCTATGGCTCTACTATACAATTTATATAAGCATGTGTTATGGTCGGGTATGGTCTAATGTGTTATCATCATAAAAAGTACTGCAATGAACAACATTGTAAATACAGGTTTTTAACCATTATCTCTGACTACTTCCTTAAGATTATGTAATTGAATTAGTGAAATTACATTCTCCATACATATCATCAAATAACCGACTAGTTTTAAAAGGAATCATTTATACATAAAATAAAAAATCAAATATAAGTTTAACAATGTCTCTTCAAGTTTTCTTTAAACTGTAAAAGTTAAAAGGGAAAGTCAAGAGATTTAAAAATAAAAGGCACGGGGTGCCTGGGTGGCGCAGTCGGTTAAGCGTCTGACTTTTGGTTTCAGCTCAGGCTGTGATCTCAGGGTTGTGAGATCAAGTGCCGCATGTGCAATCGACTTGAGACTCTCTCTCCTTCTGTCCTCCCGCCCCCACTCTCTCTCTTTCTAAAATAAATAAATGAATCTTTAAAAAAATAAAGAAAAAATAAAAGGTAAAGCATCATCCAGAAACTTTTGCCACAGTATTTTAAGCACCATATTAATATCTTTACCAAACAAGAATGCTGCCACCCTACGTTGAAATTTATTAACTCAGGAATTCAGTGCCCCTATTCCCTGCCAGAGCCTGACATCATCTAGTGGAGACGTGGGTCTGAATCCACTGAGTAAACAGCACACTTATCACCTCCTACCTCATCTGCTGCCTTCATTATGGCCTCAGCAATCTTTGAATCAAGACCATAATCCTGGTTTACTTCAGCAGCCGCTCGCTTCAAGATGCCAAAAGCTTTAATAACTGGGATCTAAAATTAATCAGAAAAATATCTCAAAATTGCAAGTTGCGTTAAGCATAAAAATTTAAGATTATTATTTTATGCAAGTGCAAAAACTGTACAAAAACACCAATGTAAGTAATGCTACAGTAACACTAAGATTACAGATAGGTATGTAATGAACCAAGATTCATCATGTATCTGTTTAGGGAACCAAACAAAAGCAAATAGGTTGACTCTTAATACATGCGTGTGTCTGCCCCCCCACCCACAAACACACACACATACACACACACACACCATGTACCACTTTTTTATGATACATTATAATGGACATGTGTTTATTTCATATATATAAACACAAATGGCACTCATTTCACCAGCAAGCACCATTATTTTCCCTCACTGGATCTCATGCCACATTATAATTTTTCCTAATATTTAACTGCCACATAAGTTCAAAATAACCATACTAAATGGGTATCATTTCACCCCAAAGCCAAAAAGCAAGTTATTCTAGTAGTCAATGAGGCTTTGACACTCAAGTCACTGGAATGTCCCTCAGAATATTTCTTTAAACCCAGGGTACTATATACACACTTGGGACTGACGGCTTCTGATGCATCTGTCCCTATTTCAAATGCTTTCAGTTTGCAGATCTTTTCACTCCCTGCTCTGAATCACCTCACCGAATTTAAAGGGATGAGATTCAGCAACTTTTGATGATACTTCAATGAAGTGGTATCTGGTTTTTCTAAGACGAGAGAATCCTGTATTCTTGCCAAAACTAATAATGCAGATTGTAGTCTGGATTCCACATGAGGTTTGAAGGGGGAAAGTGCAAGGGAGGAAGGAGGGGTGGGGAGAGAAGAGCACAGGAGAAGCTAGTCCTCAAGGAGAATCAAGGTGGAAAACAAAGCAAAGGAGGGAACTGGACAAACCTGGGCCGAAGAGAGGACAAGCTGAGGGTCAAACAGAAGAGGAAATAACAAGAGAACATCTATGTTTTGAATTCTAAGAAACTAGAATTAAAACATTCTGAAATGTTTTACCTAATGAGATAGAAACAAATGGCATATAGCACTAGAAACTTAAAATCTTTAAACATGACAAGGATGGGAATTTAAGTTTGGACAGGGGCACACTGCAGCGGTGGCTTCAACCACTGCCGCACTCGTAACTGATGACCTCTGCTCTGGCCATCCCAATGCAGTGTCTACGGACTCAGGAAACGGAGAGGGTCACAGCACAGTTTCACTGACTACAATTACAACAAAATGGTAAAACGTCACTGGGGAGAAAAGAAGGGTCTCATTATTAAGTTACTCATGTTAGAAGTTCATAATCTTTTTTGGTTTTGTTTTCCTTTGGACCTCAGGTACCCTTGCTGCCCGAAGCAGGACCATTAAAACTGAGCCGTGCTTACTCCTACCAATAGTGCTTAGCGCGGACCTCCTTGGTCCCAAGAGTTGAACTAGATGAGGACATTTTAGGATCAGCTGCTACCTTTTGCCACCTAACCATGTCGTCTGACCCTAGTTTACCTCAGCACCAAGCTGACTGTCGGTGGCAATGACAAAAAGATTTTCTTCAAAGAGTCAGCTGCCTGTTGTAAAATTGTATTAAGCCTGTAAAGATTCAATTGGAAAGGCTTAGGAATAAGCTAAAATATGGAAGTTAAAATGACTTTAAGACAAAAAGTATATTTAGAAAACAGCTATTAAACAGTATCTTCCTGGATGAAGTCTGGCTACTTCTAGGCTCCTAGCCCATCCTGCACCCTGGCATTGACTACTGTTGATACTGCAGCTGGGCTCCAGCACCATCTGTAAGCTATTCCACCGATTCTTTTCACTCTCTGACATCTCGGAAGCCAAGATGAATCATCATATAATCAATGGCAGGGCACAACTCTGACAGCCTTTTTCTTTCTTAGTGCTACATACTGGTGCATCTTCTAACTGAAGTCATCTTAGATTTAATGAAATATGGCAGAAAGTTTTCTAATGCTTCAATCATTCATGTGGCCTTGCACAGATACTTATGTATTATCTATTATAAGGCAGATATGGTGAAGAATAATATTTTTATGTATTTGTGTATACTTTTCTGGAAACTAAAACCAAGATAGAAAGTATTAAAGAAAAATCTGTTTTCTTTTAAATCAGTTTTAAAAAATCAGTCTTAAATCAGTGTAAAATACTAAGTATTAAAACTAAAAATGTTTAAACTAAAATTCTAGTAAAAATCTGAAAAAACCCAGCAAAAATAAAAAGACAAATCATGGGACGCCTGGGTGGCTCAGGCAGTTAAGCATCCAACTCCTGATTTCAGCTCAGGTCTTGATCTCAGGGTCTAGAGTTCAAGCCCTGCGCTGGGCTCCACACTGGGCATGGAGCCTAATTAAGGAAAAAAAAAATCACTTAGTTCTATCAAATAAAGCCCTAAAATATTCAAACTCACAGCTTAAAGTAACAATACTAAACTTCAAAAAGTTCTTTGATATTTTAAAGAGAAACATGCTATTACTCACAAAGCCAATTCCATAATAACTTCTTATTTTAACTCTGTAAAATATTTATTTATAAAATAAAGTGACTCATTTGAATAAAGCCAACACTTCCATAAAACCACTTACTGGCATGCGTTCTGTCACACCTCCAATCTTAAAATTCATCGTAGATCTCACAGTCTGGGCGCCATAATACTTATCATTTGGGACCTTGAGTTCACCAAAGGTGTCAAACTCTATCCTAAAGGAATTTTGGCTTGCCTAAAGTGAAAAAATAAGACACTGTTATAGCTTGAAAAGAAACTGAGTATCAAAACAACAACAACCTGGGGCACCTGGGTGGCTCAGTCATTAAGCGTCTGCCTTCGGCTCAGGTCATGATCCCAGGGTCCTGGGATAGAGCCCCATGTCGGGCTCCCTGCTCTGTGGGAAGCCTGCTTCTCCCTCTCCCTCTGCCTTTCCCCCTGCCTCTCCCACTACGTGTGCTCTCTCTGTATCTCAAATGAATAAATAAAATATTTAAAAAAACAAAACAATAACCTATTAGCTGGAAGGGGAAAGAATCTTTAATAAGTACTACAAAGACAAAAAATCCCACTGGATTCTCATTCCACTCTCCAGTTCTTTTCTTGACAAACTTCTGTCAATTTTTTTTTTTAGAGTATAGTTGACATGCACAATGTTACGCTAGTTTCAGGTGTATAACATGGTGACTCAACAATTCTAGGTCCTGCTATGCTTGCCACAGTGTAGCTACCACCTGTCACCACACATTATTACCACACCATCCACTATATTCCTTATGCTGTACCTTCTACCCCATGACTTACTTCATTCCATATTTGGAAGCCTGTACCTCCCACTCCCCTTCACCCATTTTGCCCATCTCCTCCTCCCCCCACCCCCCGGCAACCATCAATTTGTTCTCTATATTTATGGGCCTGCTTCTGTTTTGTTTCTTTATTCATTTGTTTTGATTTTTAAATTCCACATATAAATGAACTCATAGGGTATTCGTCTTTCTCTGACTTATTTCACCTAGCACGATACCCCTCTAGGTCCATCCATGTCATTGCAAATGGCAAGATCTCATCTTTTTTATGGCTGAGTAATATTCCATTGCATATATATACCACACCTTCTTTACCCACTGGGCTGCTTCCATAATTTGGCTATTGTAAATAATGCTGCAATAAACACGAGGGTGCATCTATCTTTTTGAATTAATATTTTTGCTTTCTTTGGGTAAATATCCAGTAGTAGAATTACCGAATCATATGGTATCTCTAATTTTTTCAGGAACCTCCATACCATTTCTCCCCAGTGGCTACACCAGTTTGCATTCCCACCAACAGCACAAGAGGGTTCCTTTTTCTCTACACCCTCACCAACACTTGTCATTTTTTTATTTTTATTTTTTTAAAGATTTTATTTATTTGACAGAGAGACACAGCGAGAGAGGGAACACTAGCAGGGGGAGTGGGAGAGGGAGAAGCAGGCTCCCCGCTGAGCAGGGAGCCCGAAGCGGGGCTCGATCCCAGGACCCTGAGATCATGACCTGAGCCGAAGGCAGTCGCTTAACCAACTGAGCCACCCAGGCACCCCTGCACTTGTTATTTCTTATCTTTTTGATTCTAGTCATTCTGACAGGTGGAAGGTGATATATAATTGTGGTTTTTTGTTCCTTAACAAATAGTGATGTTGAGCATCCTTTCATGCCTCTGTTGGCCACCTGTACATCTTCTTTGGAAAAATGTCTATTGAGGTCCTCTGCTCATTTTTCAATAAAATTATTTGTTTTTTTTGGAGGGGGTGTTGAGTTGTATAAGTTCTCTATTTTGGATTTAACCCCCTATCAGATATCATTTGCAAATAACGCAGATGTTGAAGACAGACTGTAGAATTCACACACTATGCAGAAGATAAAGGAAAGCCTCTGAAGTAAAAATAGTCATCTTTTCCAATTCAGGAGTATACCTCTTATTGGTCAAGGTTTAGCTAATTCAGTGTACTTGGGTTAATCTCTATTTCACTGGGAACTTTAGAAAATGGTCTAAGAATGATACTTTAAAAACTGTAAATATTAGATATTTAAGCAGAGCTTCACCATGGTCTACAAATACTAAGTAAGCGCCACAGCACGGTGAGATATAAACAATCCAGGCTTTGCAGTCAAACAGCCCCCCACATAGTAGCTGTGTCACCTTCAGCAAGTCAGTTTTTCTCATCTATAAATTAAATGTAGAGATAAGGGAGGATGGGCTAGGTCAGTTCTCAAGCTTTTCAGGGCAATGGAACCCTTCGAGGATATGAAGAAAGCTATGGATCCTTTTTCTAGAAAAATGAACATAAATACATATATGAAAAACCTTACCTATGATTTTAGGGAGTTTATATCTTGAAGCCAATCCACCACCCAGAATAAGAACCCATGATCCAAAGTCCCTTTTATGGAGACCCTAGGATTCTAACCAAGTACCTCAACTTCTGCTAATAAAAAAGTTAACAACTGCTCAACAAATATTTTAGAATAGTATAAAAAAAGATTTACTGTAAAACACTAAAAAGTTGGAATTTACAGGGGACAATTTATATCAAGGAGACTTCAGAAAGATACTCAGAGCTTTAATTAATGTGCATTAATTATGAAATAAACATGGTCAGATGATTCAAAAGATTTAAAAATCCCTAGCCGAGTAATCCTGTTTTAGTAAACAGTCCTCTGAAAAATTTAATTTGTAGTCATCTTCTGGGACCAGACAGATTTACAAAACCCTTTATATGTTACAAAGCCTTTTGGATTGCAGAAACAGAAAAGTATCATTGTATCTAGGTAGAAATACAGTAGTATTACCAATGAGGTACATTTTTCTTCTATGTCTAAAAGTCTGCAGAGGACTGGCCTAAGCCAACAAGCAGCAACAGCTAATAAAAATAATCATACCTCAGCATTTACTGTGCTAATGTAGCAAATTCTTTCCAAGTATCACCTTACTTGACTTTCAAAACCACTCCAGGAGATTTTACTATTACCATCTCCACCTCAGAGGAAACTCTGGGGCTTGGAGAGATTAATCTCAGGGATTACCCACTTAGAGAGAGGAAGGGCCTGAAACCCCCAAACCTTGGACTGTCGAAACCCAAAAGCTGTTTGGATTACTACTTTTTTGTTACTACTTCCAAAAGCCAAGAAACGGAGGGAGTAACTTCAGATTGGCCACAACCAGCCCTTGAGTTGTACCCCTAACCCTGGAGAATAAAAGGAGGTGAGGATGTGTAGTTAGATTTTTCTCTAGCAGGGCTTGGTTACACTTGACACCACTATACACCCACTTGCTTCCTACCCTGTGGATCAAAAGCACCTGGGGTTTTCTATCTCAAATGCACAAATAAAAATATGCTGCATTATGATCTTTGTTTTAGATAGCCTAAGGAAATATCCACATATGTTAAAGTAGATTTTGGCCCAGCAACACCAGCAAGAGCAGCAGTGACATTGGACACATAAGCTACGTTTTCTTCCTCTCATCACCTCGTTACGTGACAGCAACAAGATGCCAGCTCCAAAGGGAGGTCAGTTTCCATCAGTCACTTGAGGAATCAGGTTCAGCTCCTTGGATTTACATCATCGCTTTCTGTGTTCAAAATGATCAATTTTTCATCATAAAACAGCAATAACTTTGTCCTCTAAGTAACTGGTTTCTACGGTAAAACTCAGATCCATTCAGGTACTTGAAAAGATCTAGATGAATATATTTTACTATGTTCTTCAGCATAAACCTGAACAATTTTTTAATCCCAAATCAAGAAACAACCACCTCAATCAAATTCTAGGAGCTTGATGGTGATCATTAAAACGTGCAGAAGTCAACTGTGGCTGAAATCACAATGTCACCAAAAATTCAAAAAATATTCTTACTGTCCCTATAATAAAAATCAACATCCCAAATTTGCAACAATAAACACTGTTTGCAGCAGCTTAGGTAGGTAATAACAAACTGTTGCAAGAAGCCAAACAGTTATCTCTTTATCTGAACCCCAGCAAATATATAGGTCGCATAAATTTGTAAAATAGAACCTAAAGGGATGCTGTAAAATACTTTGTAAGGCACCAGGAATTAGAGAAAACTATCTGTCAGAGGAGGCTATGTTTATGCGGGGTCAGCATCTATTAGAGAAGCTCATATATATATATATATAATATATATATATTAATGTATAGAGAGAGAGAGAAAGGAACTATGAACCAGGTAACTTTGCCAATCTCTTCATTCTTCTCAAAAACCTACAGAAGCCAAATTTCTTTAAATGTTCTTTACAGTAATCCACAGACAGTAAATAGTCCTCTGAAAAATTTAATTTGTAGTCATCTTCTGGGACCAGACAGATTTACAAAACCCTTTATATGTTACAAAGCCTTTCGGATTGCAGAAATAGAAAAGTATCATTGTATCTAGGTAGAAATACAGTAGTATTTATTACAGTAAATACAGTAGTATTACCAATGAGGCACATTTTTTTTTCTACGTCTAAAGTCTGCAGAGGACTGGCCTAAGCCAACAAGCAGCAACAGCTAATAAAAATAATCATACCTCAGCATATGATTGGTTGTGGCCAATCTGAAGTTACTCCCTCCGTTCCTTGGCTTTTGGAAGTAGTAACAAAAAAGTAGTAATCCAAACAGCTTTTAAGTCTACTTTATACAGTGATCCGGTACATACATAAACACATGCATATATGCACACAAGGCTGAAACAAAAACTTCACAAAACAGCAGGAAATATTTTTCTTCTATGCCGTTTTATTCTGTCAAAATAATAATAATAATGTTGGTAACTACCCACTACATTGATTTCACCATCCACTAATGAGTCCACCTAAGGTCTGAAAAGCACTCATGTTGTTTTCAAGATTTTCCACATTATTGTGTACATTATCTCTTCCCAGTGGCTTGGGCAAGAAAAGGAGGAATGCTCATCCTGAATTAATGAGAAAATGATCAGTGCTTTTGATGAAAAATGAAGCAATGAATGGCATCTCTTAAATATATGTTTTTAATTCATACAACATAATCCACTGTTACAAAAAACTAGTGTTTCTGAAAACCGTGCCTTCATATGCCATAATTCAGAAAGAGTTTCTAGCAGAAGGCAGTTTATCACTTCAGGGTAACGCCATGGTTTAAGGAGTTTAACTGGCCAGGCATGGGGTGGGCACAAAGTGCAATTTGCCATGGGTTCCTGTGAGATCCGTGCTCATTTCAAATCACCTCCCCTTCTGGAGAAGCATGAAGGGTAATGGTCATGTTCACTGCAGTCTTATTGTCATCAGGCCGTAGAAATACAAAGTACTATTGTAAGCAGCTGCTAACCCCAGGAACCTCCGAAATTAATGAGGTGTTCTCAAAATCCGAATGCCAGTCTAAACCTGAAAGGTCAAAAATATGGGCCTTAAGCCTCGAAGATGTTCCCACGTACATTCATGTGTAAGATAACCATTAACTAAACCATGAAATCTCCTAAAGAAATAAAATGCCTTTCAGATTCTGTTTAAAGTGGGTTAAAAGAATATTTCAGTATTCAAGAAAATCCAAATCATTTCTCATGCAAAAGGACTATCCAAAGATATAAAAATCCACTATTTGACTTCATTGTGTTCGGGTTTCTGGTTTCTTTCTGAAAAAGTCTGTCTGGTCTTAAAATGTGGGTACTAAGGAGGGCACGTGTTGTGATGAGCACTGGGTGTTATACGCAACTAATGAATCACTGAACACTACATCAAAAACTAATGATGTACTACACAGTGGCTAACTGAACATAGTAATAATAAAAAGGATTTCTCAAATTCATAAACTTTTGCTTCCTTCTAAAAAAAATGTAGGGTGACCACCAAGTCTTGCAATACTGGCAAATACATAATAAATGTTCTATTGATATTACATTGCAATACAGAAGATATTATCTGTTTCCAGACTTTACAGCCATTCTGCAGATCATTAAAGAAATAAAGAAAAGTGACTTTAAAAGATGTAGGGCTTCCCTATCCACCATGCTAGCCAAGCAGTATCAAAGCTGCACTATTATAGTTGTTCTCCATTAGACATTCTTACTCTCACTGCACTATTTCTCCTGGGTAGTTTTTATCACACGGTAACTAACTGTGCATCATTTCTTTGCTTATTAAATCTCCCCTGCTAGTCTCTAAACTCTATGCCTGTAACGACTGTCTTTTTCATAGGGCCCAATACATAGCAGGCATTCAATAAACACGTTATCTTCCTACTGGATAAACATTTGTGTTCTTTTAGATAAAAGGTAACTTAGGGCATTTAGGGTTATGTAAATTCTCAACAGTAGCAATAAGAAAAACTCCATAAAATCAACACAGAGATTTTGGAGTGGAGCTTAAAGGGCAAGAGATGTATTTAGAATTTGGGGGGGAATCTATCTTCATTTGATCTTAGCTATCATTAATTACAACACTAAAAGCAAGGCAGTGCTATTTTTTGAACATTTAAAGCAGGACAGATTCAGTTCTCCAGTCTCCAAGTCCCTTTTACAAAACACTAAATTAGTAAAAACTACATAAATTTCTAAAAGGCTCTAAAATGCATTAAAATTATTAGAGCAGGGAGTTGCAGGAACATAAAGCACTCCTGATTTTGTAGTTTCAAGCATAGTAATGCCATGAAATTACCTTCAAGTTTATAGTTCAGAAAATATCGTGGGCCTTTGAATTACGCTAGATGGAGGCACTAATTTAATGAGCACTCACTATTTCCCAAACACAAAGTACTTTCACATGGGCAATCTTGCTGGGTACTTGCTCTTATTTCCATTTTACATGCAGAAACCGAGGCACAAAGACAAGCTGCCCTAAACTCCGAGTAGCAGCGTAGGATGTGAAATCACATCTGACTGCAAAGCTCATACTACAGCACAGTGAACTGTGCAGAACTGTTAACTCTTCCTAAACCACATCTATTTTCCAAACTTTTCCTAACAATCCACGTGTGCATAAGTATTTATAATGCTCGTTAAAGCCCAAATTACTGAAGGTGCTACTCTAAAGAGCAAAAGACTTGAACCCGGACCTTGTTAAGTTCCTTAGGTCTTTTTGAATAAAAAGTACTGACTTAGTTACAGATAGATCTTATCCAATCTCCCCTAACATACTTCAGGACACTCTGTCCCTCTCCACAAGTTTCAAGTTTTACAAAAATGGGGGAAACCACAGTCAGCCTAACAAACGAAATAGGCAATTTTCATGAAAAGCAAAATCTTTTAAGTTCCTGAGAACCTTCAACCCCACCTGGAGGCCTGAAAGCAGATCACCACACATTGGTGATAAGAAGCCCCAGGCCAGAGGCGACCATCAGCAGCCGGCCTGCTAAGGGGCAGGGGAGGCAGCGGCCCTCGCCCCCGCCTCCCAGCCCGGCACAGTCCCTAGGGCAGCGGCCAGGGTGGGGGCCTCCGCACCAGCAGGAGCGCAGCAGTAACAGCCGCCGGGGCACCCCCCACACCCCACCCGCCCGGGAACGCCCGCGGGAGCCCCGCAGGACCCTTGCCGCCGGATACCGCCCCTGCCCCAGCGCTCACTCGGGGCGCAGGCGGCACGGCGAGGCCCGGAAGCCGGGCACGCAACCCAAGCCGGGCTCTGCCGGGACGCCCCGGGAATCCCTCTCGCCTGCCCGGCCGGCTAGCGAAGGGCTGAAGGTCACCGCTGGGAGGCCGGGGCTCGGACGGCCCGCGCTTACCATTCGGGCGAAGTTCGGGGGCCGCAGTGGGAGGACGGCCACCGCTCTAAGGCCGGTCGCTGAGGCTGAGCCTGGAGGCCGCACGAGACGACGCGAGCGCGCGAGGAGCCGGACGGCGCGATACATGGTGCAACGGGAGCCTGGGTAGAATTTGGGGGTGGTTGAGGCCACGCCTCCGCGAGGGCTGTCAGAACCCGTCCCGCCCACGGCGCCTCACTCTGGTCCAATCAGCAGCCTCAAGCCCAGCGGGTGGGGCGGGACCAATCGTGAATGGCCAGTAAAGAGTGAGGAGGCGGGCTTAACTTCCTTGTTGTGGAGCGGACCTTTGAAGCCCTCGGATTCATGGGAAACTGGTGAGAAGGGAATTATGGGAAAGGGGGTTCAAGTTACTCTTTGAAACAGTTTGATCGCCGTGTGAGGCAAGAGGACTGGAGAATTAGCTAATGAATGAATCGGTGGTTTGGTCAATGACATACTCTAGGAAGAAGTATTTATCATGTAATCACTCATTACTGGTTCTTTCTTTGAAATCTTTTAAAATTTCTTCCAGATTACATCTTCCATATAGAAATTGTGGAAATCGAAGCAAAGTATAAAGGATGAAATAGTAATTAAAAAAGTCATTTTGAGGTCTCTGCAGTTTCCTTTCTCTTCTAAACGGGTACACTTAACTGTCTTTTAAAGTGTAGTGAGGAAGATGTCTATAATTATAGGTGATTTTAAATTTTTGTTATTTACATTTACGTTCTCCAAGTTTTTTGCATTGATAATATATACATATTCACATTAAAAGCATATCGTTTTAGTATAATAGTTGATGACAGAAAAGCACGAACTGATACTAAATGGCTTCTGACCCACAGTTTTATCTCTTCTTACTTCTCTTGTCTGTTGCTTGAAACCAGATGACAGTTAATGATGAAAGAAAACCACTGGATGATGTCTGGAAGTCAAAAGTCTAGGACCTGCAAAGCCAAGGTTATAAGGGTTAGTCTTTGCCAAACCTCTGGGTAACACTGCTTATGTTATTTTGTGGCTTATGAATTTGACTCATATATATTTAAAATATGAGAATTTAAATAAGAGAGCATGATAGTTGCACTACAATCAAAACTCTAAAACCTCACCTGAACTCTTTATACCTCAGTGTCTCTTCCCTCTGTCAACTGATGATTCAGAAATTATTAGACTACTTGCTGAAAAAGTGAAACCAACAGTTACTTAGAAGTTAGAAAGTCAGAAAGAAAGAAATTCAGAATCAAAAGATAATGCAATGGTTTTAGGAAACAATGAACCACCTATCCCACATGCTTAGGCTTCTCACCATTAAAAGGCAAACAACACGAAGTTTAGTGTGAAGATAGTAGTGTTAGTGTTGTCATCAGTTTGACAGAAAACTGCAAGAACATTTACTAACAATCACTATCACTTCCTAGAAAATGCTAATGTTTTGATGCATTTGCTCCATATCCTTTGTAAAATAAAAGAGAACAAATTACTGATATTAGAGAGGCGTTTTCTTCCCATCCTCCCAGAAACTATCATTATTTTGCTACGTATCCTTTTCAGTTCACCGGTGTATTTTTTGCTTTGCATATTGATATGCAAAATCAATGGTTTTAAAATTTTTTAATTTTACTGTTCTTTAATGGAACTGTTTTTGAGATCTAGCCATGATCTTTTTTTTTTTTTAATTTTCTCAGTTTTAATTTCCAATAAGGTAAATCTTGATGATATAATCCACATAAAGAAAAGCTCTTGCGGGGGGGTGGGCTGGGCGCCTAAGTCCATTGAACGTCTGCATTCGGCTCAGGTCGTGGTCCCAGGGTCCTAGGATCGAGCCCCATGTCAGCCTCCCTGCTCAATGGGGAGCCTGCTTCTCCCTCTCCCTCTGCCTGCTGCTTCCTCTGCTTGTGCTCGCTCGCTCTCTCTTTCTCTGCCTCTAGCAGAAAGAATATCCCCACGGAGTCAGGAGATCTGAGTTTGAGACCCGCACACCCCTTCTGACTTGCTCCGGAGACTGACTCCAACACTGTATCATCATCTCTTTGTACCAGAACCATCCCCTGGCCTTCCACCCAACCTCTGACCTAGCCATGATCTTTTTAACTTAATATTCCTATCACAGGGGTTAAGCACATTTTCTTTATAACATTTTCTTTTTTTAAGATTTTATTTACTTATTTAAGAGAGAGAGAGAGAGAAAACAAACAGGGGGGAGGGGCAGAGAGAGAAGGAGAAGAAGGCTTCCCGCTGAGCAGGGAACGAGACTCAGGACTCAATACTAGGACTCTGGGATCAGGACCTGAGCTGAAGGCAGACGCTTAACGACTGAGCCACCCAGGCGCCCCTCAATATTGATATTTCTATGCCAGTTGGTTATTATTTGCCTCATGTATGTTTCTCATTTTATTTTGGATAATTTTGTTTCATTTTTTCTTTGAACATATCTCCTGTTTCCACCACATGGTTTAATATTTTTAAATCCAAATTGGTAGACTTATAGCAAATGGTCTATTTTAATCCCTTTCAACAACCACCTGCTGATACATGTTACAATCCAATAAATTTTCTAAGCACTTTATGTATTAATTCTTTTTTTTTAAAGATTTTATTCATTTATTTGACAGAGAAAGAGAGCAGGAACACAAGCAGGGGGAGTGGGAGAGGCAGAAGCAGACTCCCCGCTGAGCAGGGAGCCCAATGTGGGGCTCCATCCCAGGACCCTGGGGTCATTACCTGAGCTGAAGGCAGATGCTTAATGACTAACCCACCCAGGCACCCCTGTATTAATTCTTTTAAAAGTCAAAGCAGCCCTGCAAAGTAGGTCCTATTATTCCTGTTCACAGAAGAGAAAATTCATGCTTAAGAGCATCCAACGAGGCCACAGTCTTAACTATTTTGCAGGCACATTGTGGGACTTATTTTCTGTATCATTATTAATATTTCTCAGGAAACAGTACCTGGTACTGCACAATGATTAAAAATAATTGATTAAAAAATAGATGGGTTGTGGCAAAATTTATTTTCCAGATAGGGTCACAACAATATCTTCCATTCCATATGGCCTTCTACAGTGTGAATTTGCCACAGGAGAGTCTAAATATCCTCCCCTTTAATATTGGCAGGCCTTATACCTTGCTAATAACCAATAGAATCTGAGAAAAGTGACTGCTAAAGCTAGATTAGAAGAGACCATGATTCTTCCCTGTGGTTTCTTGACACACTTGTTCTGTGGTGAGCCAACCACCATGTAAAAAGGTTGGACTAGGGCGCCTGGGTGGCTCAGTTGGTTAAACGATTGCCTTTGGCTCAGGTCATGATCCTGGAGTCCTGGGATCGAGTCCCACATCGGGCTTCCTGCTCAGCAGGGAGTCTGCTTCTCCCTCTGACCCTCTTCCCTCTCGTGCTTTCTATCTCTCATTCTCTCTCCCTCTCAAATAAATAAATAAAATCTTTAAAAAAAAAAAAAGGTTGGACTACCCTAAGACAGTCATGCCAGAGAGGCCGCACATTGGCATTGCAGCCATCAGCCCAGGCTCTCCTCCCAACTGACAGCCAGCATCAGTTCTCAGCCTTGTGAGTGAGCTGTCTCAGATACCTGGCCCAGACGGACTTACATAACTGGAAACCCACCAATAGAACAGATTCCAAGTTAGACAATCTAATTGTGGTAATTTTATTTCTTTTCTGTTCTCTTGGCTCTGCCCTTTTGTTGTGGCATTTTATCAAAAAGGTGTGACTGCTGCTTGACCCATGAGCTAGACCAGTGTACTCGGAGACTCCTCCCCGCCCCTGTCCTTGGAATGTCTCTCCTGCTCCCAGAGGCTGCTCCAAAGACACAGCCTTGAGATGGTGATGTGTTGAAAACACCCTCATGGTACACATGACTGAGCCCACTTAGGACCTCTTTATGAACTTTTAAGATTTGGAGGGTGGGTGTGGGGATCCATTAGTCTTGCTGCCACTCAAGACAAACCTCCTGTGTAAGTTCCCTTTGCTATACTCAACATAACATGGTAATACAACTTTTCTAGAATTGTCTTTCATATAAAAAGTTTTCATTTGATTATTTTTTTTAAGATTTTATTTATTTTAGAGACAGAGAAAGCGTGATTGCATGCATGAGCAGGGACAGGGGCAGAGGCAGAGGGTGAGGGACAGGGACAAGCAGACTCCACACTGAGTACAGAATCCCACTTGGGGCTCAATCTCATGACCCTGAGATCATGACCTGAGCCAAACAAGAGTTGGATGCTTAACAGACTGAGCCACCCAGGTGCTCCCTCCCCCCAAATTTTCATTTAGTTCTAATGGACAGTGTTGTTCACTGAAACTTTTAAAGAGTAGAGACACTCATTTGAACACATTTACAAATATTTATTTACTGAGCATATGTTTGAAAGTTCTTGCTTTCCCACTTTTTTTTTTATATCTTTTTCCTTTCTTCATTATACTTTGTCACCTTTCCGCAACAGAAATATTAGAGTGGTATAAAACTTAAGACTATAAATTAAACCTTTTGCTCAACATTCACAACATTATGTCCCATTTTCAGAATCTCTCTTTTTTTTTATTTATCAAAATTTATTGCCAACTAATAGTTTTTTTTTCCACAAATGCAAAGAGAATTTACGGATCATTTTCAGAAAAATCTAACATGTTTAATATTATAAATACAACAAGTCAGAAAGGTCACATAACTAAAAGCAATACTTGAAGTAATTTAACAGAATTTAAAATTCCTTCTCTCTGAGAAATGTTTAGGAATTGGAAATACAATCTGAAGAAAAAAATATCTCATAGCATACTTAAACTATGCTCAATAAAATTGGGCATAAAATAAAGATGTTCACAATCCTATACTGTCTTTTATTACTGGTCTGAAAATTAAGAGGTCTAATTTTTAGAAAGAAGGGAAAAAATATATATAATTGCATTCAGTCAAAACTATTAGTTCTCTAGAAAACTCTGGAGAATTAACTGAAAACCTATTAGTATTCACAAGACAGTTCAATAAAAAGATTGGATGCAAGATAAGCATACAAAAATCAATAGCTGTCCTGTAGATCAGTGATAACCAGCTAGAAGATCTAATGGAAAATATTGGAAAAACTCAATAAGGTTGGGT